GAGAGAGAGAGAGTGGGTGAGTGAGTGAGTGAGTGAGATATCCAGGTGTAATACTTCATTTATATCTGTAGGCAAAAGCGACCTTCATGCTAATTTAAACCAGAGAAAGACAATGACGCGAATGCTTTGGATCTCACAAATGCGACCTGGTCCCCCCGCCGCTGGATCGGAAAGAGCGCTGGTCACCGGCCCTCAGCTGCACCGCGAACAATGCACCGATATGGGCCTGCTGAGAGAACAAATTATCTGTTAAGACAGCTGGACGAACCCTTCTTTCAACGATTGACCCATGCTGACTTTAGTAGAAAAGACGGACAAATTTGCGGGTGGTCAAAAGGGGGAGAAATAGACAGCAGTCGCATATCATCAAATTTTAGCAAATCTTGGTGAACAACTCTACGGTTTAATTCTGGGAGAAACTGGCTACCTATGTCAGTTAAAACCAACTCTACATCCCGAGTCATGTTAACATCAGATTAGCAGACAATAATAGGCTAAAAACAGGAATGGGGAGACTAATTGTGTTACGATTGAGCGCGCATCACTAAAACTTAGAAATTGAAGGAGGAAAGTGACCATAGCTGGGCCAGATGGCGTTAGATTCAATTGAGCAGCACCAGGGACTTGTGAGGAAATTGCACCCACTCCAGTCACATTTCTAGGGTCATTCCCTAACGAACATGTACAACAAAGGTCAAAGGTCATTGCTACCCCAAGCTAGGATGACATTCATCTCATGTCATGCGTGGTGTGAAAGCTACTGACAACTGGACTTACACAGTTTTGGAGGGACACGCTGAAATTAATGAATTCAGGTGATAAATGAGTAACATGCAACAAATCAAGTCAGATTATTCCCAGTAACATCCGTTAGTTGATCTCTTTCTATTGACATGATCTATTGAACATGGAATTTCAATGTCAATGACCATTGACCACTCAGGTCACAACTGATCTCATATCTGGCCTTGGATGCTAGCACAACAGTGTGCGGTTCCACTTAACATCCTGGAATTGAAAATTTATAAGGCATCTGTGAGCACACTATTGATTACACCAGTCTGAGTCTTTGTCGAGCCATCAATTTAGTTTAACCATTAGCTTATTGTAATTTACAGCCCCCCCCCTTGATTTGATATAACCATTTCTCATTGCTGATGTTCCCACCCGAATAATTGGATATCACATTTGCCAAAATTTGAATACCTTCAACAACATAGCAATCGGTAAACCGAGCTTCCTTAAATTAGAACACCACAAGTCGATTGTCAATTGCAAGTTAAATAAATCATCTGGTCGAGTATGTCAATAAAAACCTGCATTATAAAATTGACTCTCATAAATTGGTTCAGTAAGATAACATGAAATCACATGAGTTGGATTGTTTTTTTTTTTAATCCAAATGCCAAATTGAGACTAATCCGGCGCACTACCTAAGAATTCCCTTGATGCAAATACTTACGACCCCAGAGAAATTTGCGACAGCGCGGGGAGGGACGCCAGACAGCAACCCACAAATAAAATATTCATGATCACAAATGATTGGGCACTACCGAGAATTACTTCATTAAATCACAGGCAACACTCAGAATAGTCAAGTTGAAATTCCGATCAAAGTTGGCGTGTCCAAGGTTAGACGATGAGAAGTCAGGATGCACCAAGTACCAACCCGCAGACGACACGATCTTATCACGTCATTACTGATCAACAAGCGTAAACACAGTGTTTCCTGGAATATGACGTCACTGAGTGAATATAGCAAGCTGCGGTGGAGACGTTTCGGCTGGTAGGCGTAAATATCGTGTAGATGAAAGGAGTAGTAGATGGTCTGAGTATTTGGCGGCGCAGATTTCTCTATCCAATGATTTTTTTTTGTTCATGTCGCGGGTAACAATTGATTCGTACCGCGCAGCGGTGCGCACATGGACTGAAGGGATTCTACGGATCAGACAGGTAAGGAGATACAGAAGGAGTGACTTTTGAAGTGGCCGATAGATATTGAAACCGGAATTACACAAGGAGGAAAGATCTAAGGATGGATGCTAGCCGAAGAGGAGGTATGTTGCAACACTTTCATGTGTTTTTGACTCTGCCGATACGTCTAAGTCTACTAGGATTGGAACTGTCTCACGTTACGGAGGAAGTAAGTAAATATGTTAGGCAGATACCAGAACAAAGAACGCCATAAGACGCCCAAGCTGAGAGGTGAGTCAGAGAGAGAGACAGGACGAGGGAGCACACTGCCGAAGGTGAGTGACAAATACGAAAATGATAGAGGATAAGGCGAGGAGAATACCGCCGGGATGAGGTAAGTGAATTAAGTCCACCGTCGGAATTGGATCGCAGCATGCATCACTCATGACGCTAACGCGCTTGAACACACATCTGCAGGACAGAATTCCACGGCGTCGGATAAAATTGCAGGATAGATTCAGTCATGGAGTCTTTCGAATCACACCGGTCAATGATCAAAGGCGCCACTTGCGGGTGCCATGACTGCATGAGAGTATTGAGTAGGTACCTGTCTATGAGCCCGGTGAGACTGCGGTCGTCGGGGTAGCAGGCTTGTGTCCACCGGTTCGTTAGGTGAAAACGCGTAAGACGGTCTCCCACAGAAGGGCTGCAAGGGTCAGTAACCAACGTCCGGCCGCGGGGTTTTAGTAGGGAAACAGAGATGTGCCGTGAGCGGCAGAGGTTGACGGACCAATCATAAGCCACCGAGGAACGCTAATAACTGACGCTACCCGCGTCGATCTTTAGACAAGTAATCGGGGTCAAATGGTGTAGGTGTTCGAAGAGAGTGGGCCGGCAGAGATTGATTGAACCAATCACACCCATCGACGAACGCTTATAATGTAATCGCTACCTGCGTTGCACCTTTAGACAAGTAATCAGGGTCAAGTGATGTAGGTGTTCGAGGATATTGGGCCAGGGAGCCCAAGAGGTGCTAGGAAGAGCACACACAATTCCAATGTTGGAATGGGGCGCGATAAGTCGTTGGGAGGTAAGAGTAAGCTTAGATGAAATTTACACTAATCACGGAGTCTATGGAATAAATTGCGTTTATTGTCCCTGATATGTACCGCTGGAGGGAGTTAGAACAATTACTGGGGAGGACTGAGAGGTCAATGCGGGATCAAATTTATTGTAGTAGGATGAGAGAGGTATGACAAAGAGAGTGAGTCTGAGGGAGATTGAGGTATGCGTCATATAGTATAAGGACCAGCGGGAGATCTAATCTCAGCATTGAGGGCGACATTAAATGGGGATGTACTCGATTATCTTTGGGATGATGGGGATAAGAAAGGGAGAGAAGGATGGGTAGCTATCAGGTATCAGATGGTGGCTTCAGGTTATGTCCTCAAGGGAGGCATCAAAATTATATGCTTTGGGGAGACTTCCGTGTCCTAAATTCCTTGTGAGACAGATACCATCCTAGGCAGTGAAGACTATATGTTGACAAGCGACAAGCCAGCCTCATTATAAATATTGTTTGTGACGAGCCCCAGGCGCAAGGAACGGTGGCGGAAAGAAATCGGTCAGCTTGAAACCAACGGACCGATCAGCAATTGGAAATGGGTGTGTAATTACGTTTGAACAAGAGAGAAATCAAACAGCAAGAAAAGTCAACTCATTAATCAACAATTTGTGGATCTACCAGCCTTAAACACTCACCTGAAGTTGTTCCAGAGGACGGCGCAGATCGGCAACCATCTCGGAAAGAAAAACACCCCCGATGAACGAAATTTTATTAAACAATATTTTTTTTTGAAAACATACTCCCCACCGCTTCCGGACCCCCAGGGGGGCATCATCACAGTTATAAGCCGCTGCAACTCAGTGCGCCCGCTAGGCGGTCCTTCTCCACTTGTTAAGCCTGATCAACCTACTGTCTACGGTTTGACCTGACCTGCCGGTGTCTGCAGTCTGCCGACTGTAGCTTTGGTCTGATCTGACTCGCCGTGATCTGTCGCCGAGCTGGGTCTCCAGTCTGATCTTACCCGCAGTCTGTACATATGCAGCCTGAGGCCTGTTTCACTAACAAATAAAGTGTGTAATTACAAAGAAAAAACTTGAGTTTAAAAGAAATAATTACTAACATTTGAAATTTGGATTTCACGAAACCTTCGGGCATGAATTTTGAGTTTAAAATTTACCAACTTTTTTACAAGAAAAAAGTTTGTAAGAAACATCGAAATCGCAAACTTTCTGTTTCACGAAGACCAAAAACTTGAAAGAAAACGTTGTACTTACAAACCCGAAATTCCAGTGGACCTTACGTTTGGAATTTTATTACTTTTTGTGCAATGATGCAAAGCAATCAATTATTTAAAACAAATATGATATGCTGAGTCATTATATGTTCTTTTTCACTTAGCACATTCCTTACGAACCAGCTACGAGCAATAAATAAATATCGTCATGTTTTGTCATTCGCGCGCCATAATTACATTCAACAGTCTTCTGCTGTCAAATGTTTTATGTGTTATTTTCTTTCAATAATAAGATATTGTGAACTATCATTTATACCATTCAGAAACAGCATCATTATTTTTAATTTATTCCTGCAATTTCTGACATGAATACTATACATAGTTTGATAAAAAGAAGCAATATCTGTAGCATGTTATAGTTGTTGATCAAAAACAATTTTACTGTTTACAAGCTTATTTACCAAGTCTTTTTATCGGATGTACCGCTGGTGATGAAGTTTAGTGAAATCCGATTTTACATAGTTTGCAAAAATACTTATGAATTGTAAAGTTCAAACACTTGTAATCGCAAGTTTTTAGTGAAACAGGCCTCTGATCTAACCCTCCATTGCCCCTTTTCTTCAGAACGTGCTCCGAGAGTTGGAGTCACGGAAGGCGCATTGTCTCCAGTCTGACCTAACCCGCTGTTACTCCCTTCTCCCTCAAAATGTGCTCCGAGAGTTGGAGTCGCGGAAGGCGCATTGTCTGCAGTCTGACCTAACCTTCTGTTACTCCCTTCTCCGACAGAATGTGCTCCGAGAGCTGGAGTCGCGGAAGGCGCAGCTCAGCGAGCTGGTCAGCTCGGCAGACGGCCTGAAGGACGACCACAATCGGCAGCAGGTTCACACCAAAGGTACGCACGGTTGAACATACATTGCGCACACAAAAAGTACGGACGAAGGTACGCCAAAGGTACACACCAAGGTACGAACGAGGGTTTCCAACCGGGAGCAGGTCCTCGACGCTCGAAGGATCACATTGCAGTCTACAGATTATATGAGCCTCATATGACCACGAACAAGAAATGTAATGACGTTCTTGCGATCGCCTTGGAGGATGTACGCTTCACGTCGCTTCGTGGACCTCCGAACGCTGCAGCCAATATGCCCCTCAGAAGGGAGATTGTTTCATCACTGGCTGAAGTTATGAGCCACTGATAACGTTATTGGATAAGTTAACCAACCAAATAATAACTTGAGTATCCATTATGGTCTAAATACGAACGGGTCACCGGACTATAAAATCCCATCAAACAAACACCCCAAGTCGGGTTGGTTTTGGCGCGTGCCGGCCGGGATTCCTGGTATGCCCGGCTGGTGCTATTCTGACCCGTCGGTGATCTGGTGTCGGCCGCGCCGCCGCTTCTGTTGGGTCGATACGCCTCTCGGCTCTCGGGCGCGCTGTGTTCAACATGACGCCGCCGTGCGAACGGGCCACTGACGGCTGACAGCTGGCTGTCAGCTGACAGTGATCACTGATCAGTGGTCAGATCAGATCATCACTGATCAGTGGACAGTTATCACCAGTCTGCCGTCCGACCGACCGACCGCCGCTCGTTGTCCTCTGCGCGCCGCTGGCCGTTGTCATTTACCACCCTCTGGTTTGCAGATTTTTGGAAGCCTAGAGGGGTGAAAGGGTGGCTGGTGTCGATCGAAGGGGTTGTGCGGTTGGCGTCGGTTGGAGTGGGGTGGCTGGTATCTATGAGCTGCACGCTGGAATTTGTGATAGGGTGACTGGTGGAGGCCTCTGGAGAGGTGGCTGCTGTGGTGGGCTATCTTGTCTGATGTCTGTCGGATGTTATCGGTCGGAGGGACGACTGGTGTCGATTAGAGGGACAGCTGGACATACGAGTAAGTCGGTGCCGATAGGAGAACGTTGATACCGGTCAGCGATGGGGCGTTTTTTGCAGCAGTCCTGCCGCGGAGTGTCCGGCGCGGCGCCTACAGGAGTTGCCGAGGACCGGACGGCCACTAGCGCCTGGCCGCCCACGGTCGATACGGGACGAGTTAGTGGGACTTTATCCCCCGATAGCCCGTGCCGCGGACCCGGCGGCCGGAGGCGGAGCAGCCGAGAAGGCGGAGGAGGCGCGGTGGATGGGTGGCCATTAGATGGTGGCCGCTGGGTCAGTGGACAGGGGACAGCTCTCTGGTCAGTCGCCGTGGCAGCCGGGCTGTGCCAGTGGCGAGGTAGCAGTAATCTCTGTCGTCGAGCCGGGCCGACGTGAGCTCACTTGATGGCCTACTATTTCAGTCTCAGGGCCGATCAGTAGTACCACCCGGGTCGTGCTGACGGCTGGGCCCGGTCGGCGGCCCCCCCCCCCCCCTGACACACCGCTCCAGCCTGGCTGCCAGACGTCGAGCCGTTATTTCCATGGCCATTGTGAGACGGCCGTTTCAGGGATTTGGGCTGACCTCTACGTTGGCCTTCTCTCCAGCCAGTGGCAATTCGGAATGATGCATACCCGAGCTCTCCCGACCGACCCTCGGCGCTGTGTCGTTTTAGGGCTGTCCATTGGCTGTCTGGATGAGGGTCGTTCGCCTGGCCATTCTCCGCCGCCATTGCTCGTTTGGAGAGAAAGAACAAAGGTGGAGACTATTTTATCCGGTCGTCAAATTGACACAATAATAGAATGTAGTGTAGCACATTGCTTATCACACATGCACCACATTCATACACCGTCTCCACGTGCTGGCACTCCACTCCACACACCTCTTCCAGCTGTGCTCATTGTCCCTCAGCGGCATTTGGAACAGCTTGACTTGTTTTGCGGCAGCTCGGTCCATTCATGTGGAACGGCCGACGCAGTCAGGCACACGGCGAGCCGTGACTGGTGGCCGCGGGATTGAGCACTTACGGCTCTGACCAACGACACAGACAGACTCAGACTACCGCGGCCGCGGCCGGGAGGAGGCGGCCTGCAGTCGCTCCCAAGAGCAGACAGAGCTCATCTGTCTGGAGCGGGGTAACCCGTTCGGCTACCTTATACGGCGTCCTGTTCATTAGAAACGGGGAGGCCCGTTTACGCGAACATTGCCATTGAGATGGGAGTCCCGGCTAGCATGTGAGGTACAGGAAATCTCGCTTACCTGAAATGTGGTACGGGTTCGGGGAATTCCCTCCATCGGAGACATAAAAAGGCGGACAGCGTCGCTGGTTTCACAGATGCAGCACACACAACACCGGACACATGCAACATTATTATTGGGGCAGTGCGCCACACCGGCCACCAGCGCTTTGCAGTGCCCACCTTTTGCGGGGCTCGGCGGCGGGACCCCGTCCCCAGGCGCTGTGCAGTCGGGGACGGGGCTGGGCGGCAGGGCTCGCCACGAGCTCGGCGGCGCCGTCGGGTGACAGGTCGATGACGCCGCCGCCAGCCATCAGCCGACTCTGATTGGGCCGGCGCCGGTGGCCGCGAGAATTAAACGGACCGTTTGTCCGCCTAATCAGCCATGAGCCGGCGGCGGCGGCGCGCCACTGACGTCACGAAGCCCGTCGGCCGACTTAATCAGTCTTTAATGAGCCGGCTCGTTTTATGGATGTCGAACGGTCGACTCAAAGGCGACTTGCGAGTGTTGATTGCTCATTGTGTGTGGTGTGGCGCAGTACTGGGTGCTTGGCGCGTGGTGCGGCGGTGCTGTCGCCGCAGCCAGCAGCGCCGGCCGAGGGTCATTTGTAGCGGCGGCCGGGTCGTTAATTCATCGTCTCGCCCTCGCTGAGTTATGCGGCAGATGTCGTCTGCTCCATGTGGCCTCGTTTCTCCGCAGCTCCGCAGAAAAGCCGACCCGCCGAGGAAAAATGTCATTTCGTGCATGCTGGGCTTGTGAAACGTTGAACGAAAATGTGGAGCTTAGCGTTCTCATTTATTTTGTGTTGCAGCGAGTTGCAAAGGACAGCAGTGCTATGATTAGAGCTGGTCGCAACTCAGGACCGACGGGATTACATTGGGACTAGGTGACGAAGAGTCCCGTTGTAGGCTGTATCGACCGTCGTCCAGAAGCTATGCAGACGATGCTCGGACCGCGCGGCCCTCGTCGTTACCTCCCATTGTTTTCCGTCTGTTCCGACTTTTGTCGGGACCGCCCCTCCACCTCCCCTCATCGGGTTTCTGTCAGTGGACCGGTGGCGCCTGGAGGTGCGTGCCGGCGGCGCCCGGTGTGCGTGACACACGATCCATGACTGATGGTCGCCACACGCCGCTAATGGAATGAGACGTCCCGGCCCGGCGCCTGGCGGCACCGCGCCCTCGGCCACCCCTCGCAGAGTGGAGAGCGACTGTGCCGTCCGGTTATGCCCTTCTGTCTTATTTTGATTCGTCATTTGCATTTGTTTCACACTCCTGTGGCTCCGTTCCCTGGCCTGTGTGGGCGGCTCCATGCAGGACTGTGTCACTGTCAGTTTCGGCGGCTGTGGAGAGACTGCCATGTATGTATGTTCCATGTATGTTCCAGGGCTGTAGAGGGACGTCGCTGTCAGCTCCAGGGTTGTATGTACAGCCACTTCAATCCAAGTCTGACAGCGTTTGTTCCAGAGACAGTGTCAGTGTCATTTCGGATTGCGCAATGTGCAATGTGAAGCGCGTTGACTCCTCTGGCATCTGCGCCGCAGTCCCATCTCGAACTTGTTTGACTGCTTCCCGTGAGCTACAGCAGGCCCCATGGCGGCCGCAGCGATCGTTTTGCGATTTTGCCGGCGGCCAAAATCAGCGAATGCTCGCTCCAGCCGTGCGCCTCTGGCATCCTGCGGCGCGTTTGTGTCCCTCCGTCAGCACCAACAACACACCAGCACCACAATACCTGCGGCGCATCGATCGGCACGCCTATAACGCGGCACGTGCTGGGAGGCCGTGAGCAGGAATCGGGTAGTTCAATTAGGTGCGGCCTGTAAACACGTGCGACCAGCGCGGATCATAACACGCTAATTGGAGCGCCTCTGTCGCGCGCCTGTTGACCCGGTCGGCCCGGGTGGAGACTCGACGAGTTCGGCGGTGACGGGCTATGGTGTGGATCCTAGGTTGGTCCTAGGTTCCTCGCTCGTTTTTATCACCGGCCAGGATTGGTTTCTGGTCTGAACAGGTCTCCGGACTGATCGACGTCGGTTTCTAACCTGTGCTAAGTCCGGTCTCGGTACTGATTTCATTTTTCATTTCATTTGTTTGGATTTGGGGCATTTCGGCTGAAGAGACCATTGTATGCCCTATCGGCACTGAACTAGGCTCGGACTCTGCACTCTGCTGGGTCCTCACTGGTGTCGGTCGTGGGACTGGGCCACGTGGTGCGCTGTCAGCGGTGTCCGGCTCGCCGCTGACTCGACAGCGACTCAGCAGCGTCTGCTGACGCCAGCACCTGTTACTCGGTCACCGAGGCGCCTTCAGTGGCCGACACGGTCTGCGGGACCTGTCGGAGCCGCGGGGAAGGCCGGGACCCCCTCCCCGCCCCTACTTACCCACGTCAGTGGCCGACACGGTCCGGAGGACCTGTCGGAGCCGCGGGGTAGACGGGATACCCCTCTCCTTCTTACCCCTGTCAGCGGCTGACCCGATGGGGGATCTGACAGAACCGCGGGGCAGACTGGGGCATCTGCCCCCTCCTGCTGACCTCCGCTAGCAGCCGGTCCGGTCGAGGACCTGTCAGAAGTTGCGGGGCAGACCGGGGTATCTTCCCCTCACACACGCGCGCTCTGAATTGAGCGTTATGGTGGTGGAGCTGTCAGAACCGCGGGGCGGAGGGGACTGGGCCGGCCTCGTGGTTGTTCCGGGGACGACCTACTGATCCCTGTCAGCTGGCCGAACGTAGTGGACCTGCCAGGGTAGCGGGCACCTAACTATCCCCTCAAATTCCGAGAAGGGCCGTTAGCGGCCCTTCTTAAGCTTTAGGCTTTTGCACCAATCCTATTTGTATGTTTTGTGTGTCTTTACTTTGTCTGGTCTGTTAAAATAAATGAGTTGAGTTGAGTTGAGCGGCCAGTCCGGCGGGAGATCTGTCAAGAGCAGGCCGCGTGAAGTACTGATGGACACATGTCTCGTCCAATGACGAGCACCACCAGCTAGGGCCAGCTAGGGCCACCCGCGGGGGGGGATGGAGGGGACAGAGCTAAGCTACCGGAGTTGTCGTTGGTCGCCCGTCGTCGTCCCTGCCCTTCTCCTGTCTCATTGACCCCGACAGGGGCCGGACTCGGTCCGTCACTAGCAGTCTTGTCATTGCCACTCAGACTAGGGTCCAGCAACACGTCATTGCCTTATTGTTCACCGTGCTTGGGTCGAACTGGGTCCCTCTGTGGTCATTGCAACACTGACCCTCGACTAGGGTCTGGCGGTCTGTCAGTGCCACACAGACTACGGACTAGGGTCTGGCGATGTTTAATTAGCACACTTACACCGGGCACCGTGTCGGGCCGAGTTCGTCGCTGGCGGTGTGCGATTGCCACAGGGAGCCCCAGGTCGGACTTGAGTTCGTCACTGGCTCGTCATTGCCGCACTGACCCCCGGCTGGGGCCGAACCAGCTGCCCCAGCTCCCAGTCGTCTGCTGGCGCGCTCGCGCTGCGTGTAATTAGTCCGTCTGGCGGATCCAAACTTCCCCTCCATCTAATGCTCGTCACTAATTTCACCATCGGCTCATTACTGCTCCTGATGAGAGAAGGAGTGTTATGAGACAAACTGCTGCTACTTGAAACTGTTTGGGAATTCGCGAGTTGGGTGGTTTGTCTTTGTATTTGAGACATCGTACCTCACTGTTTGTGTGCGTCTGAGACGGTATCAGCTCTCATATTCGTATGCTGACGGCTTATTACGGAGCGAGCGAAGCGAGCGGAGTCTTACGTAGAATAACGGAAATTTCTGAGTATGAGCGGCCGGCCGGCCGGCCGGCCGTGCGGACGCTTTTGCGAGGCTTATATCTCAGCAACCACTTGACCGATTTACACGCGGTAATTTTTGTAGGGTAGCTTCATTCCTTCTACCAAGTATTGGACTATTCCCGATGCATGTGGGTGACCCCTTATGCACGTGCCACGTGCAAAACGAAGAGGTGTCACTTTTGTAATTGTTGCAATATCTCGGTAACTACTTGGCCGATTGCGCTGAAACTTGGCATGTAGGTAGGCACCCACTAGGCACTGCATATCCATGTGCCAGAGTTGGGGTGCTGCTGCACGTGCGCACGTGCAGGGGTCGTTTCCAGATCTCGAGAACGGCTGGACCGATGGCGCTCAAATTTGGTACACGGTTAGGGACCAGTTAGTAGGGTGCCGTGCACAAGTCAGTTGGGACCCATTTAGCACGTGCGCACGTGCAGGGTGCCGCTCCCAGATCTCGAGAACGGCTGGGCCGATTGTGCTCAAATTTGGCACATCGCTAGAAACCGGTCAGTAGGGTGCCGTGCACAAGTCAGTTGGAGGTACCCCCTCGAAATTTCGCACGTGCAAGACTCACCCCCTCGCTCGCTCCGTTAGTCGCCCCAAAAGGCGCTATACTGGTGTTATGTTATGCATCTGACAGACTGACAGTGTTTCTGTGTTGTCTGTGTATGTATAATTGTATCTCACAATTGTCTGTGTGATGGTGACTATGGGTCGCTGTGTTACAATGAGCCATCTCCGCGAGTCCTGGGAACAGATGGAGGCAGCTATGCGTCTGTGTGTCTCTATGTAACGGTTGTGTCTGATGGTGATTGTATCTGACGGCTGTGTGTCTCTCTGTCTGACATTATGGCTCTGTGTTCCAGTGAGTCAGCTGCGCGAGTCGTGGGACCAGACGGAGGCGGCCGTTCACCGCCGACTCAGTCAGCTGGAGACAGCCCGACTCGACTCGGCTTCGTGGGAGGCCAGCCGAGCGGAGCTGGCCGCCTGGCTGACCCGGCTCGAGGTGCGGCTCGACCAACTGACGCCCGTCGGACACACGGCCGACCTGCTCGAGACGCAGATCAGGGAACAGAAGGTACGTACCTACACGGCGCTGTAGACAGTCGGCGGCGCTTACTGTCTAATGGTGGTTGGTGATGCTACCTTTTCTGACGGTCAAGCCCTACCTGACTGTCGGCTGGACCTACCTTTGACTTACAAACTGCCGCACTGGTGATCGGCCAGCCCTACCTGTGACTAACTGCCGCCGGCGCTACCTGTGACTGTCGACCCGTAAATGAACCTATGATTGAGCGTCGTCTCTCCAATGACTAACAATTGTCTCTCGTGTTATTGACAGTCCCTCCCTCCTAATTGACATTCGCCGCCACCAATAACGGACGTCCATTTCTCCAATAATTGACAGTCGTCTGAGTCCCTAGCCCCTGACTGGCGCAGTCTGCAGATGCCTGCCGCGCCACGTCGGCACGTATCGTCGGAGCGCCTAACTTTGACGGCCCTCCGACAGAGGTGATCATCGAGTTGGCGCCGCTCTTCACTGTCTAACGAGCACGAAGGCCATATTACGGCCCGGGGACGAACTCTGCTCGCCGCTGCGTGGGATGGTGGTCTCTGCCGCCCGGTGCTGCCTATGTTAACGGCAGTGTCCGCCTCTATTCAAGCTGTCTGAGCTGACAGTGTCCTCCCTCCGCCGCGTGGAATGGCGTTGTCTCCGTTCGCTGTCGCGTGCGAGGGCGGTGTCTACGCTCACTGCCATGTCCTGGTGTCTCCGCACGATGCCGCGTCCCGGTGTCTCCGTACGCTGTCGCGTCCGATAACGCCGCGGTCGTGTTCTGTCAGACACGATCGGTGCCAGCAATGCTCTATCGACATCGTCGGCGCGCGCTGTCTGTCACGTGTAAGGTCATCGCGATCGACGACACGCGATCGTGTAGCGGTGTGTCCGTCCGGATCCGATGGATCTCGGTTCTATCCTCGTGCCTGGAGTCTGTAGAGAGCGCCGGTCTCGGCGGTACGGTTCATTGCTCGCCCCGGCAGGGATGGGTGGGTGTAGATACTTCGGCCGGCCGCCACCGGCCGCTGCCTCCATACGGGCCGGTCGGGGACCAGAGGCCAATGTGAGGCGGCCTGTGCCGATCGATGGCGGAGGAGACCGATTGATCATTGGTGGGCGCGCGTGGTGCCGGGACCGGCGCCGAGGGTGGTGACCCGTCCCTCACCACTCACCAGGCCAGAGGGGGTCGGAAAGTGCCGCCGAGGGTGGCGACTCGTCCTTCACCAGACCCAGGGACCGGCGGGGTGCCGCTATCTGCAATGGCCGTGGGCTGATAAGTACACAATTAGTACAGTATGCTGGTATGCTTGATTAGTACTGCATGCTTGTACTTCGTCGCTGTTAAAACTGACCGGACAAGTGATGCAACACCTGTCTGTCCCTGCGTAGTAGACGGATCATGTATAGAAAACTGATGCAACGTGTCTGCAACTGATGGCGTCCTCTGCGTTGCGTTGCCTTTACCCGTCCTGCAAGGGTTACTGATAATGGGCCGTCCGTCTGCCGCTCCCCGGGCCCATGCGCGGCCGGGATCACTGTGTCCCCTCGGACAGTAAATTGGATGTCGTACCCTGCTGGCGCGGCGCCGACCGCCCCCGTCGTCAGGTGTATCTCTCTGACGGTCGCCGAGGCGGGCGGTGCACTCCACTCCTCCGCCTCCGCCGCGCGTAGATCAGCGCCCGGCCGAGCCGAGTCGGCTAAAGAGCAGTCCGCGTCCCGCGGGGAGCGTCGCCGCTCCGCTCCTAAGCCCAAATCACCATTAACGATGTGACAGCGGCGTGGCGGCGGCGACGGCGGCGCTGCGGCCGTGCCTGGCGACAGAGCCGGATGGGCCAGATTGGAGCCAGCGCCGGCGGCGGCGCCCGGGCGGCTGGGAACAAAAATGGTGGTGCGCTAAGACCAGGTGTCTTTTGATCGGTTAGAACTAGAAGCATCGGTGGGCCGACCTGAAGCGTCATTGTGCCGGCTTGGTGTGTGTGTGGGTGGGTCGGGACAGCCGTCGCCCACGTTGTCATCGCGATCGATCCTGGCAATCTGTATTCGTTAGCGGTGTTTTGATCAGCCCTGGTCGCTGAGTCGGTCGGCTCCGGGCGGGCTGTGTCAACATGCTGGTCACAGGTGCTGTATACCCTCGGGGTCACTCGGAACTGGCCCAGTGAACCGGGGCGGCGGGCCGCGAGTAGACGGATGGCCGGCGGCGGCTGGGGTATAGCGCCAGGGTACCATCCCAAAATACCGACAGGTCGCTTCGGCGCCTCCTCAGCCAGTGAGCGGCTGGCGAGGCGGCTGGGAGGCTGGCTAAATCTGGTAATGGCGCCGCCAGGGTCAACACGCGTGGAATGCCACCCTCAGACGACTGTGCCGACATCTGCTCCATTTGTTTTCTCAGGAAATATTTATGTTTGTAGTGATTAAAGTCCTGTCTGTCTGTGTCCTGAGAGTGTCCTACAGGTGTTTGTATGCGATCTGATTACCCCTCACTTCAGCTGTCTGTTTGCGGTCTGGCTGTCCCCGTGTGTCCCGACTGTCCCTCAGTTTTCAGACAACAATCTGACTGTCCCCAGCTGCCTGTCTTTGATCTGAATCTCGGCTGTCTGTATGTAATCTTGACTGTCGTGTTCTTTTTCCTGTCACCAGGCTCTGGCGCTGGAGGTGCACCAGCACAAGCAGCGCGTGGAGGCCTTCAGCCAGCTGACGCACCAGTTGATCGCCAGCTGCCAGCGCGAGGACACGAGGCATATCAAACGTACCATGGAACAGGTCAACCAGCGCTACGGCAGCCTCAACGCCAGGTTCGTGGCCCCCGTACCTGCAAGATCTCTATTCTCTTGAAGCTCAAGGATCATAACGTACTGTGAATTTAACAAGTGCTCTGTCAAGGTAATGTAACCGGGAATCACCTTACATCGGGAGCCATCGGATCGCTTGATCGCCGTTGTAGATGCTATCGGTTATTCTGGATGATCTGGGTGATCTGCTGGATGATCCGCTGGTGTAGAGAAGTCGGACAGTGCCCAGTCACAGAGGAGGGTAGATGAGCCTGATGGAGGGAGCAGCATACCCGGCCTAAACCGGCCATATTAGTCACACAGCGAATGGCCGGCAATATCTGTTGGAGCCCAGTATCGGCGGTGCTCGGGACTGTCCACGCTTAACTGGTGCTGGCGGTAGTGGGCCGTGTTCCTGCTGACGGGTGGGAAAAGCCACCTTCTACTCATATTGGTGGAATGGAATAAGCGTGGACGGAACATTTGTGTATCTTGCGGTTAGAAGGTGTGTCGTGCGAGTGTGTGGACTGTGGAGGGATGATTGGTCCTATTGATGATTGGCATTGGTCCTACGGCAGGTTCCAGGGACTCGGTTATCCTACAGAGCCACGATCAACAGGAAGGGGGCTCTATCCAATCTCGGAATGGACAGGGGTAGCGATCCCAGGGTCGACAGGGGCATTGTCGGGCCCTCACCGCGGGAATGACGTTTTTTTTTTTTTTTTTGTCTCCACGGTCGGTGGTTTGATCATACTGGATCCTGGAGAGCGGGGGCCGTGCGGTAGCTGGTAACAAACCACCACTTGCTGCCACTTGAGCCGGTGCGGCGGTCGGCTTTGTGGTGCTCGGCAGTCGGCGTGATTGGCCTCCCAATGGGGGCTGCCCTCGCCGTGCGGGTGCTAAGAGCCATCTGGCGGTCGGGCAGAGCAGCTTTACTTCCCAGGGTAGACGCCGTCCCTAGGGTGGCGTGACGGACTGTCCCATCCCGAGGTCCCTTCCCGGTCTCTGTGGGTTCCTACACAAGTGTTGGTAGCTGATAATCTTACGTCATTGCCATCAGTTCCTGGTAATGCTGCAACTAGAAACTATCAGCAGATTTTAACTGGCTGTTCTGTGTGCTCGTACTCAGATATATGTCAGCAATGTAAAACTTTATGCCCAAGTGGGTGGTATTTGCTTTAAAATTTGTGATGCCTCATGAATTTCAATATTGACGGACTGCGTTTGTGACCGTGACATCGCTTCTCTCTTCGTTTCCACAGCATCATGGCGCGCGGCAAGAGCCTGCACTCTGCGCTGTCGTCGCTGTCCAACTTTGACCAGGCGCTGGAGCGCTTCTCGGCCTGGATGTCGGAGACGGAGTCGCAGCTGGAGTACATTGACGCCGAGGTGGACCGACTGGGAGCGCGACAGGACGCCCAGGCTCTGCGGACGCCCGGCAACCAGCTCAAGGTCGGTGGCATATGGCGGATTTCCACTCTTTCTCTCCCTGTTCCCCGTTTATCTAGACGCAAGGTCTATTATATGATCTGTCTGTTTGGATGGATATGGCGGCCAGTCTCCAGGACAGCGCCACAGGCGGCGACACTGGCCCCCTTATAGGCGCGGCAGAGGGCGGCGGAGGCTGGCCGGACCGACCGACTGCTTTTTACAGGGATCGCCGCTGGCCTGAAGATGGGCCTTTTTGTGAGGCTGTGGGACTGGCCTGTGTCGAGTTGAACTGGCTCTCCCTTACTGCTGTCTGCAGGATCATGCCCAGCTCTGTCTCCAAGCACGAATTGCAGGGTAATTCGACCCTCCCATACTGTTTCCAGTTCGTATTCCCAGTAAACTCTTCCCAACTGCCCGCTCCCCTCTGGATGACCCAGTATTCCCCGACTTACCGCCTCCCACAGGGCCACCAGGACCTATAGCGCTCACTACACGATAGTCAGACCCTCCTTGGTCTGTCCCTGCAGAACGATCGAGCCCTCCCCGACCTGGCATTGACTTCACTCGGTCACTCGTAACGGTCAATACTGGATGACTCGTCTCTATCCCAGATGACAGTCTCTACAGGGGACCCAGTCCTTCCGTAACGCTCACTGCAGGTGACTCAATCCTCCCATGACGTTCACTGAAGGTGACCCACTCCCTCAATAACGCTCCATACAGGATAACCCAGTCTGCAGGATGTCCCTGCCTCTGCTCGGCCGCCGGTGACCGTGCAGGCGGTACGACCCCCTCCCCGCCCCCGCCCGCCGCCGCCGGTTCAGATGAGTCCCTGGGGCCGTGTCGGCCTCGGACCGAGTTTGCGGCAGTAACTCTCAGCTCGACGTCCGGCGGCCGGCGACGGACGCCCTGACCCGACCGGCCGCCACGCCACTGCCGACACAGAGCGCTGAGAACTGCGTCTCTCTCTCTCTCTCTCTCTCTCTCTCTCTCTCTCTCTCTCTCTCTCTCTCTCTCTCTCTCTCTCTCTCTCTCTCTCTCTCTCTCTCTCTCTCTCTCTCTCTCTCTCTCTCCCTCGCTCTTTTTTTCTCTCTCTCGCTGTCTCTTTTTCTCTTTCTCTCTTTCTTTCTCTCTCCCTCTCTCTCTCTCTCTCTCTCTCTCTCTCTCTCTCTCTCTCTCTCTCTCTCTCTCTCTCTCTCTCTCTCTCTCTCTCTCCGCCATATTCTCCCGTTCCTTCGCCCTCGCACTGTAGCATCTAATCAATTTAAAAGGCCGGTGGGTGCCGTTGATTGATCAGGCGCCCGGGTGGGTATGTTTCACCGTCGATTGGTAGACGGCCGGTCGGCTGGCGCAGGCTGCAGATGTTGGCAGTCTCTGCTGTCTGTCCCTCGCGCCGGCCGCTGCTGAGATATTGGTGGCATGCCGGCAATGACGGCGATAATAGTGGACGTCTGCCTGCCTGCCTGTCGGCGGCCGGCGGGTGGACACGGCTAGACGAGCCGTCTGCGGCCGGTGAGGACGGCACAGACGAGCCCGTCTGTGGCCAGTAAAGACGGCCAGACGAGCCGTCTGCGACCGACGGACAGGGCCAGACGAGCCGTCTGTGGTCGGTGAGGACGACATAGACGATTATAGACGGCGGGAGAGGGTGGGGCACGGCCATGGTTGGCAGAGGGAGCAGGACACGGCTAATGTCGGCAGAGAGGACAAAGACATCGCTATTGGACAGGACAGGGGACGTAAGCACGGCTATGGCCGACAGAGAAGGCAGGGACGCTGCTGTTGCCGATAAACGGGTGTGGACGACCGGCGTAAGGAAAGAGTTCAAAAGATCTTAGTACGGTCCTCTGATTTTTGCTGAACCGATGACTATTCTGTTACTTTTTTGTTACATTTGTATCGATCCGTCTTACGCAAGACCCTAAAACATATACAAGGCCCCTACGTCTTACGCATCGTATTTCGTTTATTTGTCCGATGACCGATGTAGCACATGATTGTGTTGGTGTGATGCTTGAGCCTTTCAAAACCAATTTTCCAGCCGGACGTGTTTTATTTTGTGGAATTTGTGGGATGACAATACGTGCGGTGTCTATTAATTTTCCTTGGCAACACAGCGCCGCAGTGTAGGGCGTCGCTGGGAGACTCCGGGAGATAAACGGACGACACCGGCGGCGGCAGAAGAATCGAGCCTGACCGAGTGAGATGGATGAGGTATCGCCGGACTGGGCCCTGTTTGGTGGCCGCTGCCCGCTGTCCGGTGGAGTGGAGTGCCGCCGGGAGGGGAGAGGGAGACGCGCTCAGTGCTGCGGACAGAGCAGGAGGAGCGGTGCAGAGCTGCGCTGCGTTTAATGGTGCCCCTCGGCCGAGACAGACGGAACTGGTCGGTCGGTCGGACAGGACCCTCGAGTGGAGTGGGCTGCCGCCGCCGTCACAGCTGTCTTCGGTTCAGCCCGTCGGTCCGGCCGGGCCGGCGCTGTGCCGCAGCCCGTGGATGCTGGTCGTTATCGGTCGGTGTGGGTTGGACTATTGGTCACCGAAGGCGACTACTTGGTGGGTGTGGTGCAATTAACCATTTTCGTTGTTTTCAGGACATCCTTATTTATGAAATACCTTTGACTATGATATCTTTAATTTTGTGTGTTTCTTTTTAATGTGGAACTTGTCAGCATATTAAAATTCACCTAGACTCGCCAGGTGTTGGCGTGTATGCTGTCTGGTGTGCCGCACTTTAGTGGTCGGTTTGATCCGTTGTGGTGCGGAATACCGATGGAGATGTCTGGGCTCACTCGGCTGGCCGTGGGGTGCTGCGGAGATCTCTCGAGGAGCACCCGTCAGCGGCCGTGTGGTCGGTCAGGGAAGGAAGGGAGCCGCCCCGCCCACTCGGTCGGCCGGAGCAGCTGTGGCGCGCGTGTCGGTCCATCCCGGGCCCTGATTTACGGACCGCCAATGGCCCGCCGGCCGTGCCCGCCGGCCGTGCTCGATGGTCGCGCTCGATGGTCGTGTCCGCCGGCCGTCTCCCCTCGGACACCGAACGATCGCCCTCCCATCAAACATAGCATTGGCAGCCGGTGGTCACGCTATGTGACGTTATAACGCATGTGATTAACAACACGGCAGCAGTTCCGGACGATGAACGGTCGGCATTCGCATCTGACCTGAAGGTGGTGCTCGTATAACCGCTGGGGAGGTATCCTTCACTTAGAGTGGGCGTTTATGTGTTATTTCTTAATGGTTGTATGACATTAGAACCCTGTTTAATTCCACTTGGGATATTAACGAGCACTCTTCTGTTACATTGTTCTTTTTGCTTATGTAAGTGTGCTGCGCATCAACTTACCTCGGAGGATAACAAGAGCGTAATGCAGCTCTGCGAGTATGTCGACACTAACTAGGCAAGGAGTCGCCCCTGGTATCGGATATCGCGAACACGCCTGCGTTGTTGATTCCGACCGATTCTACAGTAAAGTGGGGTATCCTACAATATATTTCACGAGACTGACCCTTTCAGCGCCTCAGACCGGACCGCTGGCTCTGCCGCCGGACCTATGTCTCTCCGACCGAGCCGCCGTGCTGTCTGCCGCCGGGCCGGCCGGCACGACGGCGGGGGTCCGCGCGGCGCTGTGAATTTCCGCCCAGACACGCTGCACGGGACCGCCGGGATCCATTGAGAGCTGCACATCTTACCTTGCAGGCCCAATTACTCGGGCGACCCCGCCCAGCAGGCCCCGGAGACCGGCCAGCGGAAATGTGCCGCCGCGGAAATCACGGCCCACGGACGGCTTCGGGAGCGTCGTGGGCGGTTATGAGCGAAACACGGCCGCGGTATGTCCGTTATTGCTGTCGCCGTTATTTGTCAGGCGGTGGGCTGTTGCTCCGGTAGTGAGAGCGCCGTCGAGCGCCGGACTGTGCCGCGGAGGCCCGGACGCCACTCTGGCATGCATGAGCGGCGCGTGCGGCCGACGGGTGGCCACTCGGACGGCGCGGGCAGCGACGGACGCCACTCGTCGGCCGCGGCGCTGACCACAGCCGCCGCCGGCGCCGCAAATATGTGTACCGCCGCCGGCGCCGGCGCCGACGCTGGCGCTCATTATTGACGGCGGAGCGGGCTGGTCTGGCCGGCCGGCGGCCGCCGCCCAGATATGGCCTGCTCTGGGACTGGGGCGGGAGGAGAGAGAGGCCGGCGGACGGGGTGCGTGAGGGCGCGGTGACGCCGCCTGTCCCGGCGCGCCGTCCCCGGGGCCGCGTCCGGCGCCCGTCGCTCATCGCCGCCGACGCGCCGGCCGATGGAGTGCCGCCGCCGCCGCCTGTTGGTGCTGATTGGAGCCGGTCGGCGGCGATCGCCGGCCGCGATTGAAACGGCCGCCGATATTTGTCTCGGCCGGCGGCCCTATATGAGAGCCCGGTCGCCGGCGGACCGATAGAATAGAAATGAGCCGGCCGGGGGCGGCTGACCCCGTGCTGAGTACGGTACGACCGCGGCCAGGGGCCATGGGTGGGAGGGAAGATAAGCCATGCACACCAACTAGAAATAGGTATGCTAAATTCATTTGATATGCCTGCCAATCGAGCCCCGGGCTGTAACGTCAGAATCAAAGCGTCAGCCAGTAAGTAGCGACTAATGGCCGTTGCACTGCACTACGCATTTTGCACGCCGTTGAGGCCGACTTTTTCGGGACTCGGTGCCTTACCGTGGCCGATGACCCGCTCTCCTCGAAATGTGCCTTATCCGAGTTGGTCGGCGCGGCGTGTGTCAGCATTGTGTGCCACTGCAGGGCGGCCGGCATGTGTCGCTCTGCCAGTTCAGGATTGGCATGGGACTGCGGCGACCAACAGTATGCTCTGTGTAATCTCGGTAAATTGGCCTCTGCTCAGAGTGCATCGATCCGCGCCGGCTGCTCGGCGACCGGGGACAACTGGATGGTCTCGGGACGGTCCCGGACAACTGGATGGTCTCGGGACGCTCCCGGACAACTGGATGGTCTGGGAACGGTCCCGGTGACAACTGGATGGTCTGGTAC